CTCGTCTTCTTAATTACGGTGAAGATCTGGCGTTTCTCGGAGCGTTGCAACGAAGATCATCATTGGGTCGGAACTTAGAGAAAATGTATTACTTCTTAGTCCAATTTAATTGCATAATTAAACGTTTCGGGCGTATTTCCACCCATTTTCATGAACTGTAAAATGGACAATACAAATTTGATATTCACATTCAATTGATAAACACACACACACACACACACACACACACACACACACACACACACACACACACACACACACACACACACACACACACACATATAAATATAATATATATATATATATATATTATATATATATATATATATATATATATTATACAAATGATAGATTATACTAAAATCCAAATAACAAATGGTGGAACAAACTAAAGATTGACTTAAGCAAAGCACATTAGAAAGGGCAAAACAAATGCAATATACATCAGAAAATTATGATTTGTATAAGCTCACAAGAACAATGCAAATAATATTTGAATAACTGTTTAATGCTATAACATATGAAAAGATGAATTATAAAAGTTGATATAAAAAAGTAAATATCACAGTTTGTGTAAAAATAAGTTATTCACAATTAAGATAAATTAGCAGAGACATTGTGTATAACAGCGTGAGAGGCACACTTATCTAAAATTGAAACAAGTGAAATATTAAACAAGAAAATGATTCTAGAACCTTCGAGCAATGGAAAAGATTAATGTTAATGCAGGAAAGTTGCATACTGTTTTGTTATAAAATCATAATCCTAAACTTTAATTGAATTACTTTTTACAATAGGTAAACTAAAGGGTTAAGTAAATCTAGCAAGATGAATTCACAATAATTATTAACAAAAATCTTAGAAAAAAAAAAACATGAGATTACGAACCAAAAAACACAAAAAAAAAACAAAAAAAAAAAAAAACAAAGGGCTGCATTACAAAGGAACGTGTACCATGAGCCACCAAGGGACGCTATGAAAGTGAGCGGTTGTGTACTGAGTCCAAAACTATCGTGACAAAGAAAACCATCCAGATGAATATACGGGAGACTAAAATATATATGAACCCTAAAAAAAATAATTGTTATAATTATCATTTGAGAGGTTCAGTATCTGTGGAAGGTAAATATTCATTAATGTTGGGCTTTTCTTTTCAAATCCATAAACTCTAAAATGCTGAGATCAAAATCAAATTGGAATGAGTCCAGAATTTCAAAATCCTCTGTAGAAAGAGAATGGTTTGTTAATGCTGAATGACTTCTAATTGAGGCTTTTGTTGGTCTAATTAATTTGTAATTAGTGTTTCTGAATGAGAAACCTTTATGTTCTCCAATACGCATGGAAAGGTCACGAGATATTTTCCCAATGAAAATAACATCACAGCTAAAGCACGAAGATTTGTATACAATTGAAGAACCTACAGGTTTTAGGATTTTATCTTTAAATTTGAATAAATTACCAATGGAGAGGGATGTTGTGTATATAGTCTTAAGGATGGGAGTGGAATAATGTTTCTTTAATAATTATCTTTCAAATTTGTAACTGATAGTTCCAAGGTACAATAGTTTTACATAAATTAAAACTTTACGAACATTTAATAAGGATTCTTCTGGGACTAGGAGTCTGTTGAGGGTTTTCTCAATGTTTCTTTTAATGAATTTAATGGGAAACCTGTTCTTTCTCAAAATATTAGAAATAATATCAACTTCCACAGAGAAGATATAATTGTCCTTGGAAATCTTAAAAGCTCTGTAGATTAATGTTGATATTAAATTCCTTTTATATTTGATTAGCATGCAATTGAATTTTGTTGTAAGATCAATGTAAGTTGGTTTTCTGTAAACTGAGGAGACAGTTGAATTCTTTTCCCTAGAAATATTCCTAAAAAAGGGAAGACGACCAATATTATTCTTGCTAAAAGATATAGTAACTACGCTTTTAAAGTTTATAGGAAATTTCAAAAATGTTCCTTCAAGGAAAACAAAATTAACTTGGATTTAGTTTTTTCTAAATGTATATCTATATCTCTCTCTATATAATACACACACACACACACACACACACACACACACACACACACACACACACACACACCACACACACACACACACACACACACACACACACACACACACACACACACACACACATACACACACACACACACACACACACACACACACACACACACACACACACACACACACACACACACACACACACACATATATATATATATATATATATATATATATATATATATATATATATATATATATATATATATATATATAGGAGAGAGAGAGAGAGAGAGAGAGAGAAAAGAGAAAATGTATTAATACACGAATTACTTAAATAAAAAGGGTCAATGATTAGATTGATAAATTCATGTTGAAGAGTTTACATGTGTTCATATTCGTTTGTTTTATCCGACATCCCAATCTAACAAAAATGTCCTTTGGATAACACGGCATTTCTCCCTCATGTTTTTTTTTTTTTTTTTTTTTTTTTTTTTTTTTTTTTTTTTGCAAATAATGAAATCCACATTTCATCTTCGTATACAAGGAATATATCTTAAAAGAAAAATTGATGGTTGAAAAAGAAAATAGACATAATTTCACAACCTTTCAACCACTTTTTGCGGAACCTAGGAAAAATAAATATAAAATGAGTAATGTCCAAATATTTACCAAATGTTATTTGCACATAGCAAAGTGTATTTCCCTGTGCAATATCATTTATATAAAACTAGCGTAAAACTCTAAACTATTTAATATATTTCTAAATCAAAATGGAATTTTAGAAGTAGAAATGAAAAACAATTAGTAAATTCCCTACAGAATGGACATGGTCTCTTTCTCTCGTTATTTATCTAACTATCTATCTATGCA